AAATATCTGACCTGAAACTCAGACGGGATTTTGTACCTCACAGTATCCTCTGGGGTATAAAAATATTGAGGGTTAATATCCATCAATAATGAGTCTTTCTTTTAAGACGTTTCAGTTGAATGTGAATAAATGATTATATTTAATTATTGCTTAATTAATAGCAGGCCCACTATAAACCACCGTGTAGATAACTAAAGAGAAAGCATTTAATTTACAATCAGCAGCTCTTCTCTTTTTGTCCAGATATTTACTTCATTCACGATGAATCAACATTTTCATAGTTACCATCCTGTGAGGTAAAGTGTTAACGTGTGTCCACGGGGCCCCTCTGCAGGAGCTGGTGAAGGAGATGGTGGATGAAGACATCAAGCTCATGAAAAACAACCCAAATGCCTGAGTCCAAATCAGTCATCATTCCAGGAAGAACGGGAACTTTTTAGCACTCCAGTGTTCCACAAACTAGGGAACATGTTGTATTTTTACCTCAATGACTTTTTCCCAAATGAACTAATTGTGTCTTTTCTTCTTCGTTGAGGGGGATTTAACGTAGCCTTTTATTGATTATGATTGATTGTTCTTTTTTAGCACCCTGTTTGATTTTGTTTTGCTATCACATAGCAGTCATGTCTTTTTTCTTTCCAAACGTATCATGTCATGGGTGCAGAAGGTTGAGGTTTTATTTATTTATGTTGTTTCTTTTGATAACGGTTTTATTGATTAAGAGGGACTTTTCTGTCGGACAATGAAATGGCCAAATATATAAAGAAAATTGAAGAATTTTATCTTGGAAAATAGTAATTTAACAGGTGTAATTTTTGGTTGACTAATATAACAATGAGCGCTTTGATATAATAAAAAGCTGGTCATTACGCGTTCTATATTTTTTTTAAGCTCACAAAACTGATAATTAATGCTCATATTGATATGAAGATTGAGAGGTGTGTGTGTGTGTGTGTGTGTGTGTGTGTGTGTGTGTGTGTGTGTGTGTGTGTGTGTGTGTGTGTGTGTGTGTGTGTTTCGGCCAGGTTGTGCAGAGGTCGCCTGGCTCAGTTCCTGTCGTTTCCCTCGGCTCGCTGTGGCTCTCCAGGGTTTTCATTAGCGAGCACTGGGCCCCTCTTACCCGGCAGGAAGCGGGTCTCTCCCCGGACGCGGCGTGCGGGGCCCCGCTCTCAGTCGCCTCTTCCCGCCGATTGAGGCCGGGATCCGGACCTCTGGTCCTGATGATAGTCCTTGTGCTTTTTTACGCTGATACAGCGAAACACTTACAGATGATATTTAAACCTCCTGTGTGTGTATTCTGTCTCAAACAAGTCGCAACATTCAGCCTGCGTGTGTATGAAGGGAATTTACATGTAATTAGCAATTATACCTTTTAAAATGCTGTGAGGGGACAACAACTTGAGTTTTACTAATTATTACAGTTTAATTAGTTTTTTTGCAATTAAGTCGGTAACCGTAATTAGAAATATAGTATTTTCCTCCTGCATCGAATTAATAGATTGCACAGTTACACTTTAGGAACTAGTATATATTATATATATATATATATATATATATTAGTGTTATAAAAGTATAATTCAACCATTGTTTTTCACATATTTTAGTCATAAAATATGAATCTGCAAAGTAAGGCAGGCTGTCAGAAAGAAACGGTGCCGTGAAAACGACAGTATTAACACTCATCGAAGGAGCAGAAAATAGAACCGCTCAGATGGTCCTAAAGTTCCCAAAAGTACTTCATTACCTCCCACCCGGCGGTATTATTTCCAAGCGGTTTGACATTGAACTCGTGCGCAGGCCCGCGGGTCCCCGTGAGGGGTCCGGGGCTCCGGGTCGGGATCGCTCCTCTCCGTCTCTGGGACAACACCTACAGGACATTTAAAGGCCTCGCTGGGATCGTCCTGCGCTCTGAATTGGAAGCAGATGTGGCTGCGCGCTTGTTTTGGGGCCCCGACACCGCGCTGAGAGCCCGAAGCCCCTCGCAGGTGCACCGAGCGCCGCTCAACAACACTTATCAGGCGGGCCGCGCGATCCGGGCCGCTGCTGGCACCCGAAGAAAGCAACGCGAGTCCCTTTGCCTCTTTGGCCCACCAATGTAAAGCAAGAGAGAGGAAAAGAAAAAGGGGGATGGGGGGGGGGGAGAAAAAACGTCTTGCAGCTAAACAAACATTTTAAGGGGATGAAACCACTCTATCGGTCCATTTGAGCTCATGATTCCACAAGTCCTTGTTAGATGAGAATATGAGAGTATTTCATGTCCGATTTAACGGACAATAAGTGGGTTTAGTTTAGGAGGAAATATCTCAAATCCAGCCTGCAGCAGGAAGAAAGGGACTTGAAGTTAATATTGCGTTGACACCTTGTGAGCACATTATGACAGACGCGTTTAATGTAAAGCCCCTTTTGATTCACGTGAAACCATTTTCAGGAAATATATATTATTTATAAGGCCGGCTGGATATATCAATCTGTTCATCATTTCATGGGGGATGAAAATAGCATCCTTTCCGCAAAATAAAATAATATTTTTTAATTTTTCAGCTGGTCCTTGTATGGGGAAAAACGAATTAACGAGAATCGGACTCCTCCGATTAAACGTTATAGAAAAACATCAAGACCGACGTGTTCAAGACGGACAGTGAAATGTTGGAATGGGTGAAAATATTCAACTAAATCGGTCCAAATATCAGCAAAGCCGCTCATAACCATTAGAGAAAATACATTGTTTTATTTGTTCAACTCGCTTGTTTTAAATGACGGTGACACGCACGCCTCAGACAGAAAAGGCTCTTAATTAGACCCACATAACACATTAGTTTCCACAAATTATCTGCTCTTAAAGTTCTTTACACCTTTAGCGTGTAACACAATGTTTATTCTGTTTGAATGTCCTTTTTGTACGGTTTTCAAAAACATGTTCTCATCAATTAAATAGGTGTTGTTTAGGACCTCAGAAGCCAAATTACATTTCTGGAGTTTTCTTCCAATTTTGGACCATGAACGATTAACCGGCGTGGATTTCTTTTAAAATATATTTTCGTTTTGCCTCCAACTGCAAAACAAAAACAAAAAAATACTGTAGCTCAAAAATGTTGTTATATACTATAAAAGAAGAAAATACAAATTTAAGATGCTTCCGCTGTACGTTTTTTTTTTTTTTTTTAACAGAAGCTTCTTTAAAATCCAAACCATTAACCAAATAGTTCCGCTTCAATGAAGCCACTAATGTGCTCCCTGTAAATGATTTGGTACATGCCGAACAATTAGCGCAGCATCGGGCTGATCACGTGTTCGCCATGCTCGGTATTCAGCAGTCCTCCGGCACCGACGCGCCGCGATCCCCCGGGCCGCTGTGTGGATTTTCAATTTCCGTTACCTCGAACCCCGCGTGCATCTGTTTGAACGCTCCATCGGCGGCCTCGTTGCATCGTTTCCAGTCCTCTCCGCTTTCCACAGGGAGGCTGCGGGTATTTTAACGCGGGCTCCAGCCCCCGGGAAGGTGCTTTAGATAAGGGTAGTGGCAGTTCTCCTCGCCGTCCTTTCCTAAAGTGCATTGTTGACATCCTCTTCGTTGACCCCGATCACCTCCTCCTGTCTTGTCCTTACAATGAAAAATGATTGTAAGTCGGGACTGGATTTTCCTTCCTTGACCCCCGAGGGCCGCAGCCATCACAGAAATGTTTTTTTTTTTTTTTTCCCGCGGGGCAATATTGTAGTTTACGTTCTGCGCGTGCATCAGTGGTGCGCATTGTTTACGCTGGTTTTATGGCCTTGACTCATCTGACTTGTGGCCCCGCGGAGCCTCTGTGTGCTGTAATTGACAGTTTCACTGACTCATTAAAATCTCATCCACACAGGCCTGAAACGTTTTCACTTTTAAGCGTTCTGCCGCTCTGCAGGGAGACAGACACACAGTCTGAAGGCAAAACTAAAATACTATTATAATAATGCATGTTAAGAATTGTTGTAATTCCTGGGTATAGTTGTTATTGTTGTCGATTTGAATTTGGTCCGAATAATGGTGTTTATCATACATTATCGAATTTCACCGTTACGCTCGACTAAAATAGTTCGGAATGATTTTTTTTCCTAAGTTATTATCGACATGATGGTGATTTTAATACTGAATCGTAATTGATTCAACTGGATATGAAGGCTGTGGGTCTTCCAGCACGTACAGGCTTAAAACTGGCATAATGGCCTGGAATGTGGGTCTTGGGGGGGGGGGGGCGGTCACGTCATCAAGGAATCACAGAAATAAATAAACAGCTGGCAGGTCAGTCTTTGGCCCGGGCCGAAGCCTCCCACCAGTCTGACCGTCCCCGTCATGCATCAGCGGGGCCCTGTGGGGTCTGCTCGTCCAACAAAACGTCCCCCCGAAGACACCCAAGACAAATGCAGCTGCAGTCGTTGTCCCGTCCAAAAGCTCCCATCATCCACAAACAGCAGTCAGACGGAAGCCTGCTCGGTTGGTAATGTGCCCACGAGGCCCACGCGGAGTTCAAACCGCTGCCACGCGCGCATTTATTTGCATTTGGATGTTAAATATCTTCAATCTGCAGGCGTGCGTGAGGCTTTTATGCTGAGAGTGAAATGAATCGCTCTCACCTCTTGTGTGTATGAGAACCCTCTCTGGTTGAAGCCCCTGATACACTTAAGTAAGGTGGGCTATTGCTTCTTGAAGCGACCCAGTGCCGTTGGGCCTTAAACACTGTTTCATTAGTTCGTTTTCTTTGATTAACTAAAACAATTCAAATAATGTTGATGCACTGAACGACTCAAATGCACGTATAGATACAAAATGCCACAAAAGCTAGGGCCTACCCCTCCTTGTTTATTTACTAAAAGAAAGCGTTTTTTTGTGACCTTCGTTTTTAGCAAGTTGAAAATATCGCTAATTGTTTTTCAGCCCAAACGCATTTTGACATCTACCTAGTTATGATGTCTTGATTATAAACAACAAAAAATACCCCCTCCCCACTGCTAATAAATCACTCAAATTAAGATCAAATAGACGGCACTTTATTAAACAAACAAAATGTAATGCCTTCAAAATAGTTTTTTAACAAATAAGACAAGATGAATAAAATGAGTCTGTACAGACTAAAGCCCCCCTCTATTTCTATACAAGAACTGGGACAAATAAACCAAAAAGAAAAAGAAACTTTAAAGTGTTTGGTCCTCAATATCCAAACCACTCCCCTTTTCTAGAAAATAAATTACTATATTAGGTTATAATTTACAGTATATGGTCATAAAAGCTGGTGTTTGTGCCATCTTTATAAACAATTCTCAAAGTTAGAGGGAAAACAAACTTACGTGTTTTCGGTGTTACACACGTCTCGATAAAAAAAAAGAAAGTCTCTGAATCTCTTATGTCCATTCCGAGAGGGAACAAACGAGCCAAAGTACAAAACAAAATATAAAACATATATTAGAGTTATTCATTTAAACACTTTGCCTTTCAGAACTTGCTGCAGTCATAAACAAAAGCTCCCGAGGTGCGGTAGATGGACTGGCCGGACGGGAAGGCCATCTGACAGCTATTATTCCCGCTGACCGGGGAGCCGTTCAGCCCGATCCGCTGGGACTCGAACATCTCCCGCACAGAGTGGAAGTTCTGCTGCTGCGCCGGGTAACCCGGGCTCAAATGGCTCAGGTCCCCGTACCAGGACGCGAGCCGTCCCTGGTGCGCGTGGTGGCCGTCCTGGCCCACCTGGCTCAGGTTGTTGTGTCCGAGAGGGGACGCGGTGGTCGTGGTGATGCAATAGTCGGGCAGGGCCTCCTCCACCGTGGTGGAAGGCGCCAGGTGGCCGCCGGAGGACCGCTCCCCCGCGTACAGGCTCATGGCTTGCATGTTGCAGTGATAGGTCGCGTTGGAGTTGGAGATGGCGCTCTGGTTGCAGGTCGTCGAGCTGTATGCGGATGTTTGGTTGGGGGAGTAGTTGAGCGACATGGAAGGGGCGATACCTGTCCGAGACGAGGCGATGAGTGGCGGGGACAGCTCGGCCTGCGGAGACCCCCGCAGGGTGGTCATGATGTTATCCACGCTGAAGCCCTGCGCCGGGACCTGGCCGTGGTGCTGGTGGTGCTCGGGTCCGTCCATGCTGAGTGACCGGGTGGAGGGCACGCTGTGCGGGCTGCCAGTGGACATGCTGCTGCTGCTGTCGGGGCTCTCGGTCTTGGGCACGGCGCTCAGGGCCGGGGAAGCGGCCTGCGGCGGCGTAGACGTCCCGTTCTCCGTCTTTATATCCTGGATCCGCACCGGATGAGAGCCCTGCGCTGAGGGGTCCTGCTCCCGGCCCGGGGTGCGAGACGAGGGGTCCTTGACCTGCCTGTCCCGGTCGTCCTTGTCCTTCTGCACGTCCTTCTTTTTGAACCTCCTCCGACGCCGTAGGAAGCTGCCGTTCTCAAACATGTTGTAGGAGTCCGGGTCAAGAGTCCAGTAGCTGCCCTTGCCGGGCTTCTTATCGTCCCGGGGCACTTTCACGAAGCACTCGTTGAGAGACAGATTGTGCCGGATGCTGTTCTGCCAGCCCTGCTTGTTGTCCCGGTAGAACGGGAATCGCTCCATGATAAACTGATAAATCCCATTCAGGGTGATCTTTTTCTCCGCTGAATTCTGGATTGCCATGGTGATGAGAGCGATGTAGCTGTAGGGAGGTTTCACCATGTCCTTTGCCTGGTGCTGGGGGTTGTACGGTCCGTACGCCCGTGCCATGCTGGCCGGGTACTGATCGTGGGCCGAGTGGGAGTACATGCTCATGGGTGCAGGCATCCCGGTGTATCCACCGCCGGCCCGGTAGTAGCTCTGGTCGCTGCTGATGTACGGTACAACTCCCAGAGAGTTGGGGCTGGAGACGGAGTAGCGCGCCTGCATCCTGCGCTATGCGTAAAACCTCCCCAAAAAGCGTCCCCTCCAGAAACCCTCGTAAGTTCGTCGCGTGCTCCCAATCTGTTTCTGGTTTCTCTTCTTCCTGTATCGTCTAGAAGTTCCTTTTTTTAAGCCACAACTCACCACGGCGAAGCGGACAGAGCGAACGCTGCCGCCGAGGACATTTGGGAAAGCGAGAAGCCTAAAAGTAAGACTGGAGGCGCATGAGTCCACACGGCTAGGAACCGTGTTTTTTCTACTCGTTAAATTTTTCCTCCCTTTTGGCTGCTCTACGCTGCTCCTCCCCGAAAGCGTGCTCCATCATCCAATTGGAGGACGAAATGAACCTGTGGAAAAGCGGTATGGGCGACAAAAGTTACTACACCCTTCCTCCTCCTCCTCCTCCTCCGCCCCCTCCCTCCTTCATCCCGCTCTACTCATAACTTCATGGAGTTGTTAAATGCTGTTAAGGGTGTGCCTTACAGAGAAACCCCCCTTAATTACTCAATTTGTTTTTTGTATTAATATATCGTATATTAGTCATACAATTAATCGCATTAGTCTGTTTTGGAAACCAGAATAATGAGCTATTGTGAGGATACGAGCTTTAAAACTTTCTTCTTACTATAGCAAAACTCATGCGTAAAATGGGAGATGAAAAGCTCCCAAGACTGACCTAAACAGACACCCACAAGTATCTCTGTTAAATCTGTCTCAGGCATGTAGGCCCTATTTTAGGCCCTTTTTCTAAATGAAACGGTTAGAGGCCGTTTTCGATACCTCAGCCGGTAATTAGACCAAACGCGTCGGCGATTACTATCGCCAAATGAGCCAAGGCTCATCGGACTGCAGTCTGTGAGGGACTCGCATCAGCTGCTGCGGAGCCTCTGTGCAAACAGACCGACATGAAAGAGGGAGGCTGCCTCCCGACAGCGCCGGTGGGAGGTGTGTGTGTGTGGGGGGGGGAAACTAATTAAAGGTTAAATGAAGATCATTTGGTCGAGATGGGTGAGAAAAGGGCCCCTGGGTGCGAGCGGCTGCTGAGACAGAGGTGGGATTTTTTTTTCTCGAGATGAAGACCTTCCAAATGTCATTCACAACAAACAAACACCCCCCCCCCCCCCCCCCTCAATGGCCTCCCCACACACCAAGTGGCTTCCAGAAAACGATGTTCCGTTATGTGGAAAACCTAAAGACAACACCAATGTTTTCCCAGCCTGATGGAAACGATCGTTTAACAACATTACGAAGATGGAGGCGATTAGGGGATCGGCTATTGTGTCTGTAAAAATAAAGAGAATCTACATTAATATTCTATAATGTATATGTTAATAGTTTAATATCAAAAACTCATAAAATGTCTGCGAAAACCTCTAATTAAAGGTTTGTGTTTAAATTGTTTAATTTATGTATTTATTTGCTAGAATCTTTGTTGCTTTTGTTGTAGAAATTTTTGTTGAAAAATACCGGTTTTGATTGATTGTATGAAATTATTGAAAAATTATGAATCAGAACTATTTTAATATGTGGGTTTTATTTGCACCTTTTATGTAAATTAAGCCAAGGTTGTTCTGTTTATTCGTGCACAGCAACACCAACCTATAATATGGTTTACGCTTACATTTTAAATGATTTAATTTGAGGTATTCAACAAAATGTAAATACGTTTAGCCAATTTCCCTGCACATTCTTTAAATTCTGCCAATATATTTTAAACGAAAATATTTTCTTAATCTATTTATCTACAGAAGGAATTCTGGTAAAGCTGTAAAATAACATAATGCGGCAGAAAAAAAACACGCCGTCCACGAGAGCCAGTTCAAGTAATAATAATAAAACAAGTAAATGCCTAACACAATAAAAGAGATACAAGTTATCTTTTTCATCTCATCTTTATCCTTTGCCAGACGAATTAATCGAACTCTTTCAGAAGTGATATTAATTCAAGCGGAGGGAAAACAAACAAACAGCAAACTGATGAGCCCTTGATGATCCGCGAGAAGCCGCCGTTTCTCACCTGAGTCCTGAGTGTTCCCGGGGTCTCTTTCTTCTGGGATTTGCATGTGTTGTCCGGTCAGAGGCAGCGCGCACCGTCCCTGTGAGGCCCGCCGCTGGGTCCGACTGACCAGTGGGCCCTGCCGTCGACCCTATGTGTGTGTGTAAAGAGGGAACCCTGGCCTGCAGGGAACTCAACCAGCAACCCGCAGCCGAGTGTGTGATACCCAGCCGTGGCTGCATGGCCTTTATTAATACGTCTTAGCATTTGTCACACCTGAACTCCGTTCATGCTATTTCACCCCTGAAATAATAGCTCGCACCAACTACAAATAGCAAATAGAAATCGAGAAATCATCATATGTAAATATCATTTGAAGAATTACGTTGATTTTATTGATATTAAATCAACGGTGAAGAGAAAGTAACTTGATTTGTACCATAGCCATATAGCCTTTGACCAAATGCTGCTGTTAAATGTAGGCGTGCGACCCACTCGTGCCCCGCAGTGGTCATTGGGTGGAAGTGCAGGCTGGATGGATCTTGTGAGATCTTTTACTTTTGGCTTTGGCTAAAAGTAAAAGAAGTCTGCTTATAGTGCTGCATCCAAAATGCATAAAGGGTCTTGATATTCAGAACATTTATTTTGTATCAAAAATGACTTGTGTCGTGTGAGCAAAACAAGAACTAGACTGGAGACTTAAATCAAAGCAATATGAGAAAGTTTATTTGCAACAAGAGTCTTCTGTCCTGCTGTTTGACGTGCACGGACCAATTTCAGGCAGTTTAACAAGAACATGAAAAAAGGCGCTTAATACAAAATGCGCTCGAATTATATAGTCTCTAAGAGCATTTTTGATTGGTTATTAAGATGGAGGCGGCTCCTGCTTAGAACCCTCGGCGTTGTTCATGAGTTCTACATATCAGGATGTTTGCAAGATGAGTGCATGATGATTTGCATATGAGCGCTTGGCGCAGTTAGGTAGGGACATGTTATTCTTAGAATGGGGAACAGGTGGTTCCTGTTGAACGGCATTTGATCCAAATAGTGCGTGCATCTTTTTGCAACATGTTACAACAACATGTGACTTGAAATACTTGTTGTTTGTGCAATCAGGCCTTTAAGCGGCCTTCACCCATTATTACTGTGCATTTATAGTTCAAGTGTAATTTCATTCTATAGCGTAAGCGCGCAGGATTATATTTTAATACTGAACACTTGCAATGTAGAGATAGAATGGAGTGTGCTTGCTGAGCAAAAAATAATGTCACCGTGTGTGTGTGTGTTTCTTTGCTTGTATAGCCGAGCTGACTGCCTTAATGCATGCTGGTGGATGTAAGCCCCGCTCATGCTCCGCACTGCGCCCTGATCATCGCAGAGGAATAGAGGTCCCGACCCCCAGGTAAACTCTGTAGCACTGTTAGCTGCCAGCTGCCGGCTCAACGATCCCCATGAGAGGTGTTGAGTCTTAAATATAGCAGAGAAGTTAAGGTGTAGCATCAAAATATTGACTCCTTAAAGTATGCATGAAGTAAAAATAGTAATTATGTAAAATACTCCATTTGAAAATGAATTATAGCATTATACATTGCAGTTTATTATTTGATTATAATTATTGTTGCAGCTAGCTCACATTAATGACAACATTAGTCCACATGGTAGTCCGGCTACTGCTGGAGAATTTCCACACAAGGCAAGTTGATCTCATCACAATATGTCATCATTTTGGAAAAGGCTATTAATCTTAAATCAACATTTGCAAAGTAGTTAAAAAATAGATTTAGTTTCTTCGCACAATCAACAAGGAGAAACCTCTGAATATCCGGACTGTTATCTCAAAACTTTCATCTCGACTTTGGAGTCAAATATTAGCCCCTTAGAGGTAGTAGTATAGAACTAGTACAACAAGTACTCGATGACTGATGGCAGCACGTCATTTCTGGTTTCTAGTCATCATCGACATAATCTTCGTCATCAGGGAGGTTCACCATGCCAGCCTCCCCGGCTTAGCATTTCATCTTTCACAAACCCGAGTTAAGTAGTTACACAGCCCCCTCTGCTGCTACATTAGTGCACATGCACGAATGAGGAGGTAAGGACGGGACACCTCGTTTTTAGAAGCTCATTTTAGTTCAATGATGTCCACAATTCGGAAAAAGTGCACGGTATTGAAATTCTGCGTTTTTACTGTTGACCTCACATCAGTTTGTGGTAATTTTCTATTTTCTATTTTGCAGGCACTTCAGTGTGTCATCGACAGTGTTTATATTAAGTGCCTAATTAAACACAGACAGATTTCCAAAATATTTCAGGACCTCATAGTCATGTGCTCAAATAGCTCATAGGAATTGGTTTTCAAATAAATAGCTGCCAATCATCCATGTGCAAAACATTAATCTTGCTCCGGCTGTGACTGGTTTGAAGAGGGCGAAGCTGCTCTCAAGGCCACAAAGCTCCTCACAGTGTGGCAGTTTTCCCTTTTTTTACCCCTTTAAACTCAACATTTAAGAACAGTCAGGCAAACGTGTGGAGCTTCTCTGAAATAAGGCCATGGGAAATGAGTGAAGGAAACTTTTCCTTAAGCTGTTTCTGATTTATCTGCCCTGATGAGTGGCATACTTTCCTCGCACAATGACAGTCTTCATATTTGCACATCATTTCAAATTAAATGAAGGTTAGCAAAGTGACCAGAAACTTGATTTTCATTGTGTTTGTTAATACAATTAAATGAAAAATGTCTCTTTCGAGCCTCACACTATAATTGCAATGCAGCAACAAATAAAAAAGCCAGAAAAGTATGGCGGGATTAAATTGGTTTATAACAATTTCATTTTTTGTACAGATTTGGTACAATTCCGTAATCTATATGGTGTCACTTACTGGAAATTATTTGAGAAAAAAAAATATTTTGTGTTGAAAATAATTGTGTATATATTTTCGTTTTTTTTTTAGAAAAAAAGAAAACAGGATCTGCTTCAACATAAAGACCCTCCAGATATTTGATCAATGTCTCTAAAAGGTGAATGGCAGCAAACAAACGCTTTAGTACCGTGATATCAGTTTTGTTAGTTAGTCTGTGGCTTTATTCATGTTGCAGCAAGACATGTGATGGTGACAACAAGCTGTCCCATAGTTTATTAGGCAAATTAGTCCCAGCTAGCCATACCAAACAGCTGCTGAGCTGCACCCAGTGTGTCACCTGCAACCCCCGACCCCGTCGTCCCCCTGCTTTCCTGCTTTCCTCTTTCCTGCTTTCCTCATTCTTAATTTTCTATTCTGTGAAGCCGCCTCCTCTTTAAGAAGAACCATAATCAGCTTCTTTTTAAGGCTCTTGCCGAGTGCAATTTATTTTGCTGCAAAATTGTTCTATCACACCAGGACACTTAGGAGATTTATTAGCATCTGAAGCAACGTTTTACATCGTTTCACATCAGGGATCAGGTGGGCTGGTAATGAAAAGTGGCCAGTTCCATCCATGTAACCCTTCCCAGATGTTAAACCTGTTAAGGTAATGTATCTCTAATAAGCCCCGATGTGCACCGAGTCCATTCTAATTTCACAAGAATCCACTAAACTGTAGAAGACCATCAGTTTCATTGCCCAGTTTATCTGTATTTTTGAACCAGTCTGCTGAGACCATTTCCTGAACTCTAGCTCCATAATGCTTCAAAGTTCCCATCTTGTTTTTGCATATTACAGTCTTGAAAATCCTTTTCTAACACAAGTTTCCAGATGTGCAAATATCCGTGTTTAACTGAGCATGTTTTCTGGATATACTCAATGTCTGTGAATTGGAAAAGGAGATGTTATATCTAATTCCAAAGCATTTCATATAGCTGAAGCTTTACATGGAGCTGAAGCATCAGTGAACATATAGCGGTTAAAAGAGCAATTGGAAGAAAAAACCCTACAGAGAGAAAGCGAACATTGTAAACATGGAACAAGTTCTTTGTGGAGAAGAGTAACGAAAAAGAGGTGGCTGTGAAGACGCCTGACACAGTGGCCTGCTCAGCGGATTAGATCCAGAAGAACCAGACTCACGCAATAGATGCATACAGTGATCTCAGGTTCAAACAACCTGCAGAGCTACCAGCTACTTCTGGTCACACCAGCTACCATCTCAGATTCTCACCAGTTACCACTAAGGCTCGCTGGGATTCAGTTAGCAGCTGTAATTCACCAGCCTGTAGGATATCAAAAAACTCTCCGAGCTCACATATATTAACACCCGTCCACTGATGGACCCAACCTGACCATCAGAATATAACCGAAATGCGCTACTGGGAACACAGTCCCACCTCAGTCGAGTCCCCCGCCGTACTATTTTGAACGCCGTGGTCCGGCTGGGCGGAGGCCAACCCATTCCTATTTACTGCGTTTCTTCAATCTCTTTGTTGTTATTGTTACTGGTTTGGGGCTTCTTGGAGAGCTGTGGAACATTTGCTTTTTTCTTCTCCTTCTCTTTCTTCTCTGGTTGGTTGGCTAGTGGGTTGGAACTAGGAAGCCAGCTTCCTGTCCAGCTTACAGCTCTAAACTGATCAGCTCTCTTAGCTTCGGGCGTTGCTGTGTTCAAAAATGAAGAAACGCCAGACGGGCAACGCAGATCGAAAGGTTAAAATGAAATGTATTTAATAAAGTGAACTCTAGAACAATGGTTCCTACAGGTATTTATACCGATGCTTAAAGGTGTGAAAGTTAGTGTCCACACCTCTGGGAGTGGTCTTCTGGTGAGTTCAATGTAACTCGGATTTCGAATGTTTCTCTGTCAATATCTGTTGTGCTGTGGTCAAGTATTACATGCATGCATTCCGGTTGATCACATTACATTAAATACAATCATAACTACATTGGTATTAATCAATTACAGTTGCAGAATTACACTGGTTTTACAATATTGTCATTACTTTATTGATATCACAGTTTCAGAATCATGGCTGTATTCTGGTGTACTCTATATGCATTTTTATTAATTTTATGAACCGGGTTGTCAATTTATTTCAAACATCCTACAACGTTCTCCTTAGTCGCTAAAGTCACTAAAACTGTATGAAGACAAGAAGACATCGTTTAGCTGTAGCGTGCATTAATCAAAGTCAGCAATAAACTCCAGGCC